ATGTGATAAATCATTACACTTTTCACGACATAATTTTGCATGCCGTAGAAAGTTATTTTTAATATACACACATACACACAAGAACATAACCTTGCCTAGCCGTATGCACATCCAAACAAAGGCAGTGGCTTATAAAGTGCGGCAACTTGTGAACAAACCAAGTAGTAGCTTACAAACTTAAAGCCTTAAATCTCTATGGCATTAGCATTTTTTGGTAACACTATTAGAAATATTTCAATTAAATTTGGCTCTTAACTAAGTTAGCTAGACTCATGCAATGAAATATGTTAGCATTTTCATTTTCATCATCTAATCTAACCTACATACAGATACATCTCTAAAATACTGAGCTTCCCCTGCAAGATAAATGTGTCAGTATACTTTACTAAGCAAGAACTTGCAGATTTTAACAAAAGAAAAATCAAACCAAATTTACTGCTGAATTTTCCAGTAAGATTAAAATTTCAGTATTGGCAAATCCCCTTTATTTTATATCTCAGCATCACTGTCAACAAACATACACCAGTTTTGTCATGAAACTAGAATTTTGTGCATCTATGAAGATCCAACGTAAATCTAAAAAAAAAAGAAAGAAAGAAGAAGAAGACGAAAGAGTAAGCTAATGTCCCAAGTATGTCCCCTACCTTTTGGAAGCCTGCAGAGATGGCACCATCATTCTCTGAAGCAGTGAGTTCCTACTTAACCTTTTCAAGATCTTTACTCACAACTTGCATTTCTTCAGCTAAAGACTTCAATTGGATCTAGCCATTTGATATGCAGATGGAACAAGTAATAAATTGTACAAATCAACTAGAGACACCTCATTCACATATTATATTAAGAAAAATGCAAACCTTAGAGGCTGCTTCCAAATGACCGAGATCCTTATCAAGATCCAGTAACTCTGGCATCTTCTCGGCAATGAGCTAATGAAGACAAGAAAGCAATTGACATACTTGGCATCTTCTCGGCAATGAGCTAGTTTCAGCAGTGTTATTTATCTTTGTTACCCCAGTAGAGGATTTCATTCAATGTTTCAACTTCAAAGATCAAAAAAAAAAAAACAATATAAGGTATTTAAATAGATTTAGTTTCCAAATCTACAGCTTAGATATACTTATGTTACTTTTTATTTTGCCATTGCTATGCCTATATAAATATATAGAAAAGATGAGCAGCTAAGATTGCTGGTGGAGGTGAAGTCTGATAATAATCTAGCAGTAGTTGCTGCTGAAGCTACTGATGGAAGGCCAGTCTATTGCCGAGATTTCCCATATTCGGAGACCAACACAGCATATGACAGAAACATTCTTAAAACTCTGACCCTTAATTTTCTACAAGATAGTTTAATGAATTTTTATGTTCAAATCACTAGTGGTGTACTTAATAAAAATAGTAATAGGTGAAAGCATATAAATTAGAATAGAAACACACCAATTTAGCTGTAAGTTTCATTTTGCATTTATTTACCCACAACATCCTGAGACGGCACTTCACCAGCATCAAGGACAGAAACTATATTCTTCACCTCTTCTAAGGTTCCATTCTACATAAACATTCAATTCGAATCATGAATCAGATTCATCCTCTAATCATAATTCATAACCAAGCAATCAAAAAGTCAATGAGTCATCAAATAATACTGATTATCTCCGTCTTTTTTTTTTTTTTTTGATAAGTAATTGCCAGTCAATACATTGTACCACACATTAAATAATTAAACAAAACATAACAAAATTTCCAATCAACAGAATAAACAGTAAAGCTTTTTGTCAACGTTTTCAACAGTAATAATCGAAACCCCTTTTCAATTTCAATTCATTCACACCACCAAAACAATCAAGATCTAATTCCTTGGTAAACAACAATACAAAACATTTTAAACATCAGATTTTATTCAATTAAAACTAATACATTGTCTATAATTCAAAAAAAATAAGGACAAATCTCACCTAATTTAAACATCATCTATTAAATAATTAAGACTAATACATCATCTATCATCAGATTAAACATCAGATTTTAATGGACAAATCTCCAGATTATAAAAAAAACATATACCCAATCAATTTGCTTCACACCAAATCTCACCTAATTTATAATCCAAAAAATAAGAGAGTCTTCATTTCTAATCATTTCTTACCAAATCACCCAATCCAAATAGACAATTAGAAATAGGAACAATCAATCATATATATATATATATATATATATTCATAAATTTTAACGACGAAATCATACTACAAGTGAGATAGTGAGTGTGTATGTACTTCTAATCTGATTCTATACACACAAGTGAGATAGTGAGTGTGCATCATATGCTATTTCATCCATAACCAACGGAAAGAACTCAAGAATGTATCCAAATGTAAACTACTTTATCTCACCTTCAGGCTTATGCGCAATGAATTTATAGATGTTTCAATTAAGCATTTTTCAGCCTCATTTCGACATATCAAAACCTGAGAGAGGAAGTGGCAAAATCTAGATTAGGTCCACAGACAACAATCAAATCGTTGAAAACCATATTGAATTAAATATAATGAAGAGTCACCAAGTATAGATAGGTTATATAAACTTTGAATTGCAAGAGGTACTAAAATATAGGAAGTTAAGAGTTGGGGCTGGGGTGCATTACAAACAATTAAAAAAAACTACGATTGGCAATCCATAACATGTTACATAACCAAATCAATAGAAATTCTCATTGAAGAGCTATAAACACAACACAATTCAAAATATCTCACAAGCTCCTGTCTCTCTATGAATCCTTGCTGCTTGAGATCATAGAGTTGAAATGAAACTACAAGGAAGAAATTTTTAGGTTAATTGAATAGAAATCAAATCAAAATCAAAACTCTAGAAATCAAATCAAAAGCAAAGAGAGATGAGAGATGAGAAACTGAATTAATTGAATAAGGCATGCAATCCAAGGCTCTCATCGAATTAATCCAAGGATCTCACCGAATCAATCGATTGGTGCTCCTGTAACTAACATCATCAGAGGGGCAGTGGCTGGTGGTGGTAGTCTACAAATAACTCAGACTTTAAAATGTCACTATGCAACTGGGCAACACCATTGCAGACAGATGACCAACGAGATAAGTCACTTTTTCATTTTCAAATGAAATTGATCAACAAATTATAAGAGGTAGTAAAGGATTAGTGGATCAAGGGCTTAACAAATGAGCAGGACTACGGGAATACGACTAAATAAAGGCAAGGAAGCAAATGTTATACATTCTTTACTTCATTATTTTATTTGGAACACATTAATTTTTTTTATCATATCACTTTAATTTCAACAAACATTATATATATATATATATATATTTTATAAAAAATTAAAAATTGACAATTCCCAAACAATCCCTTGTAACTCAAAATACTTGTCATTTTAACTCATAATTATTTCTTATTTTCCACACTTCATATTTGCTAGGTATTATTTTAACTCATAATTGTTTCTTATTTTCCACGCTTCGGCCTTGTTTGGTTTGTTTTTAAAAAACAAATTTTAGAATTTTTTTTTAAAAAAAATTTTGTTTGGTTTAGTGAATGTGGAAATTTTTTTCCAAAATCACTTTCTATCTCCTACATATCAATCAATAACTTTTTTTCTCTCATCTCTCTTCCTCAATCAATTTTTTTTCACACACATTTACTTAACTACAACAAAATATACAACTAAACAAATCAAAAAAAATTCTACACTCTCTTTCTAAATTTTTTTTTTTTTGAAATTTTTTTCGCCAAAATCAAACCAAACACACCCTTCATATTTGCTAGGTATTTTATTTATTTATTTATTTATTTAGTTAAAAAGACGTGAGAGTCCCGATCTTCTTTGTCGAAAACAATCCCTAGCTCTCGCTCTCAATCTTTCTCCCTGAGCTCTCTGAAATTCCATGACTATCCCCGCCTCTCACATTGCGTTGAAGATGGATGATGAAGCTATTGCAGATAACTTCTCTTTCGGGAGCTTTTTCTCTCGAGAGCTGTGTCTCAGAAGGTGGGCCATCTTTATCTCTATCGCACAAGCGGTGCCCTCTCTATCTAAGATCCGAATCTGATTTTCATTTTTGATCTGATTTGCTTTTTTATTTGATTTTCGTTTTTGGTCTGATTGACATTTGTATTTGATTTTTATTTTCGTAAAGTTTGAATTTGAAGGGTTCATGCCCTAGCTCTGCAGAATTGCCTTTGCTTTGATTGAGCTATTGATTGTCTTGTTTTGATTGAGATATTGATTCAGTTTTGGGATTGGCATTGATTAAGAGGAAGTCGACGAACAACGACGCTATGACGAACAATTCATCGCTGATCTGCTCTGGTTCTCCCTCAATCTCTCCGTCGTAGGGTTTTGACTTGATCTTCCTTCACATTCCCAAAGTTTTTGTAATATCAACTCTGGTCAGCGCGGTACCAGCTCAACCTTTTATATTCAGCAATTACCAGGTTCGATACAAAGATCTACTTTTTTTGTTTGACATGGACATATTGTCATTCTTTTAGTAAAATTTAAATTAGTTTATGATCTGTAGAAACTGTAGTTTCAATTAACATTATTATTGTCAATGTTTCTTTGATAAAATTTTACCTGATTAAAAGTATAGTACCCTGCTGGCACACCCGAGATACCTTTTGCTATTTTGGAAGGTTAACCATCCAGTGGTAGAGGAAATGTTAATGCCAGTCCTCAAGTTGGATACGAACGCAATCCTTTTATTGGAAGTAGTAAGCATCACGTTCGTCAAACTATAAGAGCATCATCAGTTGCTCCATATTATCTTGATGATTTTTCTCAGGGTATTCTCTTCCTGTGTTTTTTTGGACTCATCAGTTGGCTGTTTTACTATTTATTGTATATTGATTTCTTGTATGGTGTGCCTTCTATCTTAATTTTTTTTTTTTTTGCCTTCCAAATATCTGCAGATGTGTATCGTCGGCAAGATGGTGCTATTGTACAGACTCTCCTACTCTTCAACTGCAGTGTGAGTTTTCCTTTCAGCATCTTTCTCTTTTCCATTCTGCATAGTATTGTTACCAAGCTGTAGTTGGGGCTTGAAGTTCAAACGTTTACAAGGCCCATGGTCAGTTTGCTATATCCCAAATTTTGTATCACTCTGAAGACCTTTTTATTTTATTTTATTTATAAATTAGTTAATTCTCCTTTTTGTGTATCACATATTTTACTCACTCCGTTCAGGTTACAAGGGCAGACTATCTCAGTGGAAGAACAGCTCTCCATTTTGCAGCAGTTAATGGGCATGTTAGATATATGAGACTCGTTGTGGCTGACTTTGTTCCCAGTGCTCCTTTTGAATCTATAAATGCTCAAACCAATTGTGACAGAGACAATGATTCCACTATAAAGAGCAAATATGACCAAAGGTTTTTGATTTATTTCTGTTTGTTTTTTCACTGTCAATGACATGACATTAATCAATGTGGTGATGAGGTAAAATATGTTTAGATGTTTTGATAACTAAAAAAGAAGACCAATAGTGGCTCCCTTGAAAGGAAGACTTTAAACGGATATGGATTGGGACGGTGAGGAAAGACAATTTGGACTAGAGTATCATAGATGTATGGCCCTAAATATAACAAAATTATGGACATTATTTTTAGGGAGATTCTTCCCAAGTTGAGCTGAATATATACGCTATTCCTCCTGTTTTTCTGTTTATCAGAAGTGCATAAGCATGAGAAGAAAACTCATTGATTCAAAATACGCAAACAGTTTGTGGCTATCTACATGTTGCAATACAACTGGCCTTCTCTAAGTTTTTCTGGCAGAATTGTAAGCTAGATATTTGTATAGATTGATTTCATAAAGATGAAGCTGTAGTAAGTTTTAATATGCCTCAGCAATAATAATTATTTCAGAGGTTGTAGAGTCTTTAATTTTCAGCAGTTGATAACACCAAACATTGTTCTATTCTGTTCATTGATAGATTTATTTGAAATGCAGTGCACTGTCCAAGTTTGTAAATAAGGCTGCTGATGGTGGTATCACTGCTCTTCAGATGGCTGCATTGAATGGTTATTCTGATTGTGTATAACTCCTACTTGATATTCATGCAAATGTTTCATCTGTGACATTTCATTATGGAACATCAATGGATTTGATTGGTAAGTCATTTGTTTGAGGTTCAAAAGCATGTTTTGTGGGAGGCTTGTCTGTGTTCTTGACTTATAAATACTATGAATGTATCTCTTTATAGGAGCTGGAAGCACCCCTTTGCATTATTCTGCTTGTGAAGGAAATTTGAAATGCTGTCAGGCGAGTATTTGTCCTATTTTCGATGATTTTCTGACAATTGCAAGTACAAGTGATCATGTTCTTGTATATATAGATCCTTCTTGCAAGAGGTGCCAGTCGGTTGACCTTAAACTGCAATGGGTAATGTTTTGTGAATGGGTTCTCGTGTGTCCAATGTTTGCTTCGTGTACTTAACTATTTTCTCAATCTTGGTGCTCATGAGTCATGTTGTCTTGTGGGAGCATGTTGAAGGGTATCATGAATTGTATGCAAAAACCAAAATTTTCTTGTCCACTGCTGTTGCAAAATGGGATGCTGATTTCTATGTCAAAGTGGATGATGATGTCGATGTCGATGTCGATTTGGGTATACACTGTCTCTTTTCATTTTCTTTTCTTGTTATATTCTTTTTGCCTTTTTTTCCAATTTTGGGTAGCTTTTGTCAATTTTAAATTTGCTGAGTGATGCAAAGTGCATAAAACTGTTATGACCTTACCATTGTTATATATTTTTCAAAACAATTTCAAAAAGTTAGTAAAAGATAAGCAGGATGTTCACCTATTCCTTTCAGTCTTAATATTGCTTCATAAGTTTGTGGCGTTGACTAAGTGTATTTTTCTTATTTTTAATATGGAGGAGGCTTCCCCATCTCGTTTAACCTCAGGTTGTTTTGGGAATGATCTATTTTTTAATTTTTTTTATTTATTATAAAAGATATGTAAAAAAATAAAGAGTTGACGTGAAATAAATAAATAAAACTGCTTAAAGCCAGGTTCCCAACAGTGTTTTTCAAAATTGCAAAATAAAGTGGGTATTTTTATCACTCAATTACTAAACAAATTTAAGTCAATATTGTATTTTTTTTTTAATTACTAAAAACAATATAAATATAATTTTGAAATTGATTTCTTAGGCACTTTGACAGGTGTATATGTATACATGCATGTATAGAATTGGATAGTGCCATATAAAGGAAAATGATATACCTGCATGAAGATAGTCAGGTTGATAAGGTATAGGAATAGGAATAGCATGAGGCCGTTATTAGGGTGCAAATGCACAGAATAGTCCACCCTCTTAGTTGCTTCAGAAACTCATGGTGGGGGTAAGCTGAGTGTATTTGTCCTATTTTTAACGTGGAGGAGTTTTCCCCATCCCTTTCATACTTAATTGCTTCAAAAGTGCGTGGTGTTGAGTAAGTGTTCTAGCTTTGTTTAAGCTCTTTCTTTGTGTTGTGCTATGTTGCTTATAAATTATTTTTAATACATATTTTAAATAAATTTTATATTATTATTTTAATTTAAAATTTAAAATTTAATTATTTATTTATTTATTTATTTTTAATACATATTTTAAATAAATTTTATATTATTTTAAGCACAACACAAAGAAAGAGCTTAAATAGAGCTAGAACACTTACTCAACACAACGAACTTTGGAAGCAAGTATGAAAGGGATGGGGGATCCTCCTCCACATTAAAAATAGGACAAATACACTCAGCTTACCCCACCATGAGCTTCTGAAGCAATTAAGAGGGTGGACTATTCTGTGCATTTGCACCCTAATAATGGGCCTCATGCTATTCCTATTCCTATACCTTATCAACTTGATTACCTTCATGCAGGTGTATCATTTTCCTTGCTATATCGCACTATCCAATTCTATACATGCATGTATACATATACACCTGTCAAAGTGCCTAGGAAATCAATTTCAAAATTATATTTATATTGTTTTTAGTAAATAAAAAAAATACAATATTGACTTAAATTTGTTTAGTAATTGAGTGATAAAAATACCCACTTTATTTTGCAATTTTGAAAAACACTATTGGGAACCTGGCTTTAAGCAGTTTTATTTATTTATTTCACATCAACACCTTATTTTTTTACACATCTTTTATAATAAATAAAAAAAATTAAAAAATAGATCATTCCAAAACAAACTGAGGTTAAAAGAGATGGGGGAACCTCCTCCATATTAAAAATAGGACATAATGGTGAAAAAAAAATTCGATATTTAAATTAAAACATAATGATTGCATGTATCTTTAATAAGTTGAATTTTCTATAATGAACAAATAAATAGAGACTGAAGGAGTAAATTTTATTCATTTTTTTTTATTAAAAGAAGGTTTTATTTTGATATCATTGATTGTGTATTATAAGTTTTTAATAAAAAAATTGCAAGTCATAATTTAATTAGTAAAAATTAAAGAAAAAATTACAAAAATTATATTTACGATAAAATATATATAAATTTTGTTTTATAAATTTTGTAATTTTAATTTAATATATGATAGTAGTAAATTACATTTGTTAATATATTAATTTTTCTTATTTTGTAAAGCCTAAAATTTGTCTACTAAAAATTGTAAATTATCTTATGTCATAATTTTTGCGTGAAAATAGATTATGATTGACTTGTGATATTCGACTAAACATTATAAGTGGGTTAGAAGTTAGTCGATTCAATATTTATGTCAATGTGACATTCATCTAATCATTAAAAATTATCTTGATAATCAAAAGTTTTCTTTATCAATTCTGGACTAGTATAGCTAGTTTGGGGTTCCAACATTGGATTAAATATTAAAAATGAAATTAGAAAATCTAGTTGAAGTTAATTTTTTTCAACAATTCTTGATTTAAGCCTATAATATATCATATTTTGATAACTCAATATCAAAAAAAAAAATTCTTCATATTTACGGTGCTTTTTATCAATCAATAAAAAATATTTATAAATATTAAGAGAATTACATTTGAATAAATTCGAACTTAAATTTTTTACTTTAAGTCCTACATATATATATATATATATATTTTTATTCTATCGCTAATCTTTAAGATAACAACTAAAACAAATTTCAATAATTATTATATGGAGAGACATGTGATAAGAGTTTGTAGAACACAACTTTAAAAAGTAATATTAATTCAAAATTTTCAGAAAAAAGATAATTTGAAAAAGTAATGTACCTAACTTTATATGATGTTTGATTCGAGGATTTAGGTAGGAATTTAAAAAGATAAGAAAAAGAAATGAAATGTGAATAAAAATATAACTATATTTTATCTAATCTTACACCTTTTCATTTTTCTTTTTGTGGGGAAGTGGTTTGGAAATACTCTTCTGATCCTGAGGAGCGCTCGAGATCCTCTTCTGGTCACCTGAAAAGAAGTAAACACTCCGGTCGGGGGTGCCGGAATTAGCACTCCGACGGACAAGTCAGTCTCTACTCTCAGGATTACTTGTATTTTAAGCTAAGTGTAATAGTTCTCACATACCTCTTTCTGGCTGATGTTTCTCCTGTTTATATCTTTTCTTCTTTGGGCTTCGGGATTAGATTCCTTTCCCACCTCCTATTCGGCACATTTTATGACTGTCCGATCTTCACTCGGCCTCTTGCTCAATCGGTCATTTGGCCGAGTAGGGTTGGATTTGAGCTTTCGAACCCTTTGCCGAGTGCTTCGGAATATCGACTCTCCCAGGTTTGATTATTCGGAATCTCTATGACTCCCAATAATCGGCCCCCACACTTTTCAAAATCCATATCTAAAACATGAATCAAACACATCATCAATATTTGAAAAAAGTGATAAATACCATTTAATTAAAAAAAAAAAAGCATAGCTTGAGGGTTTAAGGAAACAAAATTACCTATCTAAGAGTCCTCCTATCGCCAGTTTCACCTCTCTCAAACCAGAAGTGAGAGAGAGAGAGAGAGAGAGTGTGTGTGTGTGTGTGTGTTTGTGTCTCACTAGAATCCTCTTCTCGGCGGTTTCACCTCTCTCGACCCAGAATTGATTTCAAGTTGGTTTTTGGTCCCTCACTGCTATGCTTAGAGCTGAATTTTCTCAAATTTTGTCTCTCGATTGGTTTCAGTTTTTGTAGTAATCAATACTGAATTTTCTGATGTTAATGTCCACTTCTTCAAATCTGTATTTACATATATACATATATATATAGGTATTTATGTGTGTCTCTGTATATATGATTTTATCTAAGAGATCCATTATTCCTCTCATTTCCTGATCAATCTTCTGGTTTTTTGATTTCTTTCTTCAAAATGTGTTTGTGGAAAAGAAAAATAAATGAAATGGGTAGTCCAAATGGTCTTAGGAAGGGCTCTTGGACTGAGGAAGAAGGCAACTTGCTCAGAAAATTTCTTGGCAAGTATGGGCAAGGAAATTGGAAGCACATTCCAACCAAATCAGGCAAGCAAGAAATGCTTTTCACGCTTTCAATTTCCATCTTTTGGTGTTCCTTGTTTAGGGTTCTTTCAAATTTTTTATTTTTTTTTGGGTTTTGTTTTGGGGGGTTAAAAATGTTGAAGACATTGGTTTTGATTTTGGGCAGGACTGAAGGTTGAACTATCTTCGACCTGACATCAAGCGAGGAGATTTCGCTGTTGATGTAGATGATCTCATCATCAGACTCCATAGACTCTTGGGCAACAGGCAAGTATAATATATATATATATATATATTTATCTATATCCTCTCTAGTCACACAGAGAGAGAGAGAGAGAGCAAAATGCTCTAGGCATCCTTGTGAGAGCAAGTGATGTTAACATTTTCAATATATTAATTCATCATAAGTCTTTGTAGATCCCTCAATTATTTCAATTTGATTTATCTAAATCTTATGACTGACATATTTGTGAAAAATGTTCCTAACATTTTCCAAAAGTAAAATCTATTCTTTTTTAACCTTTATACAAATACCATGAAAATACATTTTTGAAAATTTAAATCACCTTACAGGGCTTTTATTTCAAGACGATAAAATCAAAACTTGTCATGTGATTCTAAATTAAAATTTTTATAATTACAATTTCAAGATATTATATATCTATATATCACGTTCTCACATATATATTATTTTTTAATAATCAGATGTTCGAATCAATTTATGCATACCTCGATCAATATTCTTTTAACACATTTGTCGTGATTAATGACAATCTTTTGTTTGGTCATTAATTATTTTTTTTCTCAATGCATCTTGAAAGCAACTTTTGTTTACAATTGGCACACCAATCATATGTTAGGGGTTATTCAAAAAAATAAAAAAATAATTTTTTTTGTTAAAGTCAAAAGTCTAAGTTTAGAACTTACTACTGCTCTTTTTATATCTCTTTTCATTTAAAAATAAATAAAAATGTACCAATAGGGCAACTAATAGGCATGTTTCCACATCAATCATCAATCTTATATTATTAGATAAATTAAAGTCAGTATATATATTTCTCTCTCTTTTTTCTTTTTCTTTTTTTTGGTGCAGATGGTCTCTAATTGCAGGAAGAGATGCATGAACTAGCTTCATTATCATCATCATTGAACAAGTTTTCATTTTTTTCCCAGACGTACTTCATTTTCTGATGGACATGCCAACTTTACACTGGTTACTGGTATGTCGCTTCACTCCTCCTTATACACATTTATTTGTGCATGTACATACTATTTGATTGCATTAAACTGCCATGTTTAGGATTGCATTCTATTTTGTTTTTCTCTACTTTTATCTGTTTAAATTTCTAATAAATCCTTCTTATCCCATGATATTTCATGAAAAATATTTGATATTTTTCCAGGTTTATTTTTAGAAGCTTCTGTTGTGTATTCTGCAGTTTTTAAAATGACTTTCATCTGTTTAGTTTTTGGAGATGAAAACCTCAGTTGTCTTTATGGCATAGCTAATATATGAGTGTATATATATTAGCTAATTTATGACTAGATTACTCTGTTTTTTTTTTGAAACTTTCGGAAATCAAAAGTGCTTGAAATTCTGTTTTCAGCACACCATAAGGTTTCTATCGATGAGAGGAGTATAGACCCACAAAGATCAGCTCAAGAGGAGGCCTGACACATTTTCATGCGCCTATAAAATTTTCTGAGTGAAGGACACACGCAGTCACGCACCACATGTGTGTCTAAAGGTTGAAGACAACCACTGTTGCCAAACCTGATACTTTAAATACCTATCTGGAGAAAATGTATCACAAGAGTGAGTTAGTCGCAGTGGTTTAGGCGTATTGTGGTGCGAATTTGGTCAGGAGTTCGGGTCGCACAAGTGACGACTTCGAAGCATATTTTTTCGCTGACATCTGCGCTGCAGCAGGTGACATCATCAGGTCAATTAGGTGGTTCGACCCGAATCAAATAGAAAGTTTGGAAAATTGTAATTTGGCCCCTGTAATTTAGGAAATTTCACTTTGGCCCCAAGGTTTTGGGAAATTTGCAGTTTAACTCCTGTTTTTTAGGTTATTTTTGGTTTGGCTCCTGAAGAGGAAGGAAGTTTGTTCCTAGCCAAACAAGCCATTTTCGGTCGCAACCGCAATGATTCTTAACGTTTTCTCCAACTCCCTCTATATATTGAGTTAGCTTGGAAGAGGTAATTACAATACAAGTGAGTGAGTAGCATGAATACACAACTGATTGTGTATATGTGAATGTGAGAAGAGAATTGAGAGTGTAAGTAGAAAGTGTGTGAGTTGAGTAAGAGACTCTCCTCATCTGTTGTAATCTCTATTTGTTTTAGTGAAAATTTGTTATTCTGTCCATGGACGTACACTTTGAGATCGAATCACATAAATCTTGTGTGTCATTATTGTGTGATTTATTTCCAATAGTTCAGGTGGGTTGGCCTTAAAACCCAACACCTTTGCCCATAAATTTAGGAAAAAAGAAAATAGTAATAAAAGTAATAAATTAAGCAGTACCTCATTTGTGTCGGGAGTTTCTCGAATGGTGGTTATGAGATTTCCCTAGGAAGCCAAAGAAGAAGATATGGGTTTTCAATTCTAATTGCTATTTTTTGGTCTCTTTGGAAGTTTTAGAATGAATGTATTTTTAACAGAGCATGTGTAGAGTGGGTAAAGGTGTTGGATTTTATCAAGGTCAAGCTTTGTCTGTGATTGAGAGATGGAGGTTGTTTGGAGTTTATTTCAATATCTGACTTTGTTATTAATTTTTAAGAAATCTTGAGGGGCTCTGTTCCTGTGGATGGGGTTGGTGATTGTGGCTTTAGTTTTGGATCTTTGGGGTGTTCTCAACTTGTTTAGATTATTAGATGTCTGAGATGATTGTGCTTATGGATTTTTCTTGTGGCTAAGGGAGATTGTTTTGTGGCCATGTGTTTGTGTTTTGTCGATGTACTTTTTGTACCTCTTCTACTCTTTTTGTCATTCAAAAAATAAAAAAAAAAGAAAAGAAAAGAAAAGAAAAAGTAAGTAATAAATAGTTGTTTTGTGGATTTTAAAGAACTCATCAATTGATGAAAATAAAATTTTAATTGATTGCTGTAACAACTATCTAATTAAATTTCTTTGTTTGTTTGTGACTAATATTATTTTTAAAGATCAATGTAAAGAAGTTAATATTATAAATTTTATTTATTTATATTTTTTGATAAATTATATGATTAGTCTCCATAATTTAAGTAAAATGTTACTTTAATTCTTTTAGTTTCAGTCTTGTTAATTTCAGCATTGTTGCAATGTTCTCCTTCAATTATGTGCTGTTAACTTTTTGATAGAAAAAGACCACATGCAAAATTAGAGAGTAAAATAAAATTTAATAAAAACTATAAGGATCACCGATATAATTTATTCATTACACTATCGGTCCTTGTACTTTTGTTTTGATTTCACTTTAGTCCCTTTTTAGGTGATTTTTTTTCATTGAAAATTTTAACAATAAGTAACAAAGGGATACAAAACTTTGTTCAAATTAAAATATGAAGACCAAAATGAAATGTTGCTCAAATTAGAGGGAACAAATAATTTATTTATTTAATTTGGTGGATCTATTTGTTTAATGATTTCTGATTTTTGTAAATGGCTTTTTAAAGTGACTAAAATAAGATTTTTGAAAAAAAAAATTGGCACAATGAATATTTTTGGCCAGTATATTGAATTTCAAACAAACAAATGAGGGAAAGACTAAGTGTACCATATTGCACCTTATACAAAAATGACAGAATTTCATATTTTTTTGAGTCATAACTTAAAAAAAAAAGACATAACCAATCACAAAAAAGGTGACCTCTAGGTATATAGAGATAAATGCCTGAGGAGGGATGAGGAGATGAAAGAAATGGCAAATAAGTTGACAAATCTGTAGACTGTGGTCAACTTCATAATGCAACCATCGTTCTCATTGTAGAAGACATCGACAAGGAATCAAAGGATGTCGGGCGCACAGAGTCAGTACAAGGCGAGTCACAGAGGATACCACGAACTAAGAGGACCTTTGTCAAAGGATCTCGGCAGATCCAAGGGCAAGGTCTCTGTTTTGCTGCAGCCGACAAAGGGAGGTCTAAGAGGACGCACAATTTCACTGGGAGCAGTACGCCGAAGAGACTAAAGTCTAGTGATAGTCGAGCTCTTGGTAGAATGAAGGAGGATTTAAGGGATTACCTTTAGAGAAAGAGACTCAACGTCGAGATCACGTCCAATGTCTGGCCGAGGATGCCATTCTTAGTGGTGTTAGATACTCAAAAAGATTCAACATGCCGAGGTTTCAAATCTACGACGGTAAGTCTGATCCAAACTTTCATATTGGTGTGTATTTAAATTCAATGGCTTTGTGAAACTGGAATGAGCAACTGCTATGCAAAGTATTCCCATCATTCTTTGGGGAGATAGTATCAGACTGGTTTCATAAGTTGTCGAAAGGAACTATGAAGAGTTGGGAGGACCTAGTATGTTTGTGGCCAAGTTTGTTACAAACAAGTCATAGCCACTAAGGGTAGATTTCCTACTGGCTTTGAAGATTAGCAATGGCGAAGGCCTTAGGGCTTACACCAAGAGATACTATGAAGTGTACAATAGAATTCTAGCTTGTAACTAGGAGCTGGTGGTCGTGTCTTTCAAGAACGGCTTATATAACAAATGTTCGCTTCAAAATTCACTTGCAAAAACCTTATCAAAGAGCATGGAAGAGCTCATGGCGTGGATTGGAAAGTATACCCGAACAGAAGAAGATACACAAAGAGCAAGGACTCCAAAACAAGAAAGAAGAAACGGCTCGCCAAAGCAAGGCTAAGGGAATGTCGGTATTGACAGGAAAGAAATAGGAGCGAGGGCTATGCAGGCAGTTAACACGGTATTCAGGATCTCGATCTATAAAGTTTTAGAGAGGATCAAAAACCAGCCGTACTACAGAGAGTCGAAGAAGATCCCTGGCGAGTTCATGGGCAGGAGCACTGCAAAACATTGTGCCTAACATAATGAGAATGAGCACCTGACTCAGGGATGTCGAGCTCTGAAGTCACACTTGGGAGATCTAGTCAGGTCACTTAAGAGACCTAGGGGATGAGGTGAAGATAATGGAAGAACATGCGAGGCTACCCCAGGCATCGGCAGCACCATCTCCACCACCACCACCACCGCCACAGCAAACAAGGGGACCTCGAGTAATCAATATGATTCACTCGAAGGTCAATGAGAATGAAGTTCGAGGGGTGACCAAGAGAGTAAGGCACTTGCAGCATGTATATCAGGTCCAACAAAAGAAGCCCAGAACTTATGAATATTAGGGACTAATGATTCTTTCATTGAGGTCGACTTAGATATGATGTAACATCCGTACAATGATGCCCTGGTGGTAACTTTGAAGATTGGAGATTGCTAGGTGAGGCGCATACTAGTCGATTAGTGCAGCTCTTGTGACGTCATGTATGTTAGATATTACAAGGAGCTTGGCTTCCATCAGGGTGATCTAGAGCAATCTGACAACCTGATGGTTGGATTTAATGGGATGCTGACATAGCCTGTAAGAGCCACGAATCTAGAGGTGCAGGTGGGGAGCAAAAAGATAACAACAAAGGTTCACTGTGATAAATGCTCCATTCTCGTATAATATCATTTTGAGACAACCTTGGTTACATGCAATGAGGGTTGTTTCCTCCACGTTGCACGAACTGTTGTGATTCCCAACTAATCAGGGGATTAAAGGAGGGACCAAGTACAGGAGAAAAATTGCTCCATGGCAGCAATGTAAGGTAAACAGAAAGTGTAGAGATTGAAAGTGAAGACCAAGCCGAGAAAAGTGAAGAACCACTAAAAAAGGTTCTAGTGTAGGAATTAGATGATGAACGATTCTTTCTTCTCGGCTCTAGCTTAGCCAAGGAAGAAGAAAAAGAATTGGAGGCTTTCTTGAGAGAGAACATAGAGGTGGTTGCTTGAACACCTTATGAGATGTTGGGGATCAGCCCCGAGGTCACCTGTCATAGACTTAACGTGGACAGGTCGACAAAACCAGTTGTTTAGAGAGCAAGAAGGCCGACATTGATACATGTGCATGCAGTTGAGGAAGAACTAGACAAGCTACTAAAGGCACAGGCCATCAGAGAGGTAAATTAGCCCACTTAGTTGTCTAATACAGTAGTCGTGAAGAAGAAGAATGAGAAGTGAAGGGTCTGTGTGGACTTCACAAGCTTGAATAAGGCTTGCCCCAAGGACAGTTTCCCACTGCCCAAGATTGATCAACTGGTAGATGCCACTTTAGGGCATGGAAGGATAAGTTTTTTGGACGCATACAGAGGTTATTATCAGATAGCAATATATGCCCTAGACGATGAGAAGACGACATTCATCACCCCTAAAGGACTCTATTATTATAGAGTAATGCCTTTTGGGCTGAAGAATGCAGGAGCGACTTAGCAAAGACTAGTCACCAAGATGTTCAAACATCTAATTGAGAAGACAATAGAGGTTTATACAGACGATATGGTTGTTAAAATCAAGGAACCTAGGAACCATCTGGCAGACTTGAAAGCAGTTTTTGACGTCATAAGAACATATAGGCTTCGACTCAATGCCTCGAAGTGTGCATTTGGAGTTGGATCCGGTAAGTTCTTGGGATACTTGGTTACCAGAAGAGATATAGAGGCAAGCCTAGGTCAGATCAAGGCTATCCTTGACTTGAAAAGCCCGACAACAGCCAAACAAGTCTAGATTTTGACTGGAAGGGCAGCGGCCTTGAACAAATTCATTAGTTGAAGTTCAGATAAATGCAAACAGTTTTTTGGTTTATTAAAGAAGGCCACGGACTTTCTGTGGACAGAAGAATGCGAAGTCGCCTTGGTCGACTTGAAGAAGTATGTAACAACCCCACCGGTGTTGTCAAACCTGATACTGGGGGAAGAGTTGTTTTTGTACTTGGCAATTTGAAACCACGCCGTGAGTGCCATGGTAATCTGAGAAGACGGAGGTGAGTAGAAGGCAGTGTACTATGTCAGCAAGACCGTAACTAGTGCAGAAACTAGGTACCTGTCTCTGGAGCAGTTGACATTGGACTTGGTAATGGCCTCGAAAAAGTTGAACCATTATTTTCAAGCCCACAAGATTATGATGCTAACTGAGCATCCATTAAAGTCCCTGTTGCAGCATGGAGACCTGACAGGCAGAGTAGCTTCTAGGTCAGTATGACTTAGAATTTAGGTCGAGAACGACAATTATATTTTTTTATTTTATTAGTTATCATTTATCATGTTCTCTCATGTTGCTCAATTACAGTAACACCCCGACTTTTCAAAGATTAATTAGGCGAAAATTAATTAACCTAAG